CTCTCGCAAATAAATAAATAAAATCTTTAAAAAAAAAAGAAAGGGAGAGAGTCTCTTAGGAAGACAGACATTATCATCCTATGTAATGTAATTGTAGAAGCCATGTCCCATCCCCTTTGCTGTATTAAATTGGTTAGAAACAAGTCACAGCTCCCACCTGCACCTAAGGGGTTGGGGGGTTACACAAGGGCATGAAAGCCAGGTGGTGGGAATCCCAGGGGCCATCTTGGAGTCTGTCTGCCACACAAAGATACAGTTTTGAGAGAAGTCACCAGAAAGGCTGTGTAGATAAAATAGCCAGGAGAGGACTGAGAATAGCAAGAGTATGTTAAATATATTAAAAAGGAGTATGCTTATGTGTGAAACTTACCACACAATCTTAAATACATTTTTTTCTTTTTGTGAAAATTACTTTTAGGTTACTAGAGAATTCTACAATTAATAAAAAAAAAATTCTGTAAAGCATAGCTCAGGGTTTGGGGGCAAATGTTAAATTCAAAACACTGACCATTTTCTACTTGTACATTACTTTAGCATCATTATTTTTGTAACTGGCTCTTTAGATCAGTGAGAATCTTCTTAAATCATTTATTTTTCATCCATTTTAAAGGGTGTTTGGGGCTCAGAATGCAGAGCTTTATTTAATATACCTCAATCATTTATAGCCAACAATACATAAGGGAAATGTCAACCTCATAAAAACTAAAATCTGAAAAGTGAGAAATGTTCAAATTTTCCTCAGAGAAAGAGAAATTTATGAAAATAAGGCAAGTCAAGGAAGTATATTAAAACATTTCAAAATATAAAGAATGTGCTTAATGCATCAGCAATTCTTTGATGTGTCCCTATGGACTATGCCACATCCATAACAGACCTGGCAGCCTGTGACTAAGTTATGACCAGGCTAGTTGTTCTTCAGACAAATCAGCACTGAATGTGGCCAGTGACACAGCAGTCACTTCAGGGCAAAGCTGTGTCTCAAGGCCTTCCTGTACTCTCCCTTCAAAGGGCTTCAATCCTTTTTATAAATGTTCTGTTTTCCTTCAGAGTGGCTCTCGGCTCTCTCTGACTCAGGGTTAATCACAACCACATGAAGAAGGCCCCAAATGCCGCTAAAGTAACATGACAAATGAGGGGGAAAGAAAAAAAAAAAGCTTTTGACTTTCCACCAAAACATAAAGCTATTAGCAATCATCTGCCAAGACGTGGGGAGCAGGTCGACCTGCCCCCCCAAAAGCCAAAGAGGTCAAGTTCTCCACAGTGAACAGGGCCTCTCAGACCTCCCCTTAGTTCTGTGCTAGGAGAATAAGGAGAGAATTTTCCAGCAAACTTTTAAGCCTCTATGTAATTTCTGAGGTATAGCCATTATCGACAGTTACATTTTCAGGGTTTACCCAATGAAACTCAACAGTACTCTGGGGATTGCCCTGGGAAAGTATCCTTCCTCAAGGGCAGGACCAGCCTGGAGAGGGTACGACTAAAGCCTCGGTAAGGGTATACAATGCAGCAGAGGGGACTTTTTTTTTTTTTTTTCACGTAGGCTGCTCGTTTATTAGCACTGGTGACGCAACGTAACGGTTTCCAGTGAAGATGCTGAGCTGTGTGGATCTGGCAGAGCAAGGTGAGGCTCAGATGGGTGAGTGGTGCGCTCCTCTATTTCTTCCACTCGTTCTTGTCGTAGTCCCACTTGGCTGAGAAGCCCTGAATCGGGCTGGCCTTCATGTCGAGCATCCTCTTGGTCTGCTTGGCCACCCAATCCTCTTCAAAGGTGTGCGGGATGGGGCCGTACACATAGTGCTTCTCCCAAATCAGAATGAGAGCAGTGAAGCTGAGGAAGAACATGGCGGTGCCCACAACCGTCTTCCATTCATTCGTGCTCCTGTTCATTTCAGCAAAGCTTTCGTTGAACTTCATGTGGTACAACTCAACTTTTTCATCAATGGAGAGACTGCTCCAGGGAGTCTTCTCCTCTTTCAAGGCCTTCTGGCTAGCAGAGAGGTTCTTGACGTGGGCCACATCGGGCAGGGGATAGTCACGCCGGTCGACGTAACTCGGAAGAGCATAGTCTTCACTCTTCACGACGCTTCCATGTGCTCGTACACACACTGAGGTGGAAACTGCTCGCTTGCCAATTAGGCTAAACACTCTCATAGCCAACATTCTGCCGCTGCCACCCGCCGCTGCCTGCCGCGACTGCCCTCTGTGCCCCGGCTGCCCGCGACCGGATGGAGGGGACTTTTATATGAAGCCCACAAAACCACCAGCACTGGTGCTGGACTGTTTGATGCTGAGCTCCAATTAAGTATCAGGAATTTTAAAAAGAGCACGGGACAAAGGTTTTAAGATCAGAACAATCATCACTTACTAGCAGAGTGGGTTGTTTCATTTCTCTGAGCCTCCACTTTCTCCCCGGGAAATTGCCTATTTCCTAGACTGGTAGCCTGAGGCCAGGTTCACACATCTCTGAGCATATCTGGCTGGTGAACTTAGGGGAGGGCAGTCTGTCAGATATCTATGTGTGAGAGATTAGGGGGCTTTCAGCAACCGAGCTGATCTAAATGCAGGAGAGGGCCAGGGTCAGTGAGTAGAGGCTGCACAGATCCATCCACAGCCTGGACATCTGGGCTTGGGCCTGCGCCCAGGGAAGAGAAGGCCATCATGGCAAAAGCAAAGGAGCTTTTTCGTTGGAGGGCTCTGGGCACGACATGGGGGCGTAAGAAAGCTGCTCTGGTATCTCCAAAGCAAAGTATGACGAGGAACCTGAGAAAGGAGCAAACATCCCCCTTGTGTGGAACAATATGGCCTTATTGTAATATAGGCTCCAAGGAACACAGAATATTTGGTACCCGGGGGAGGCATTCAACCAAACTCGGCACATAGTAATTGAGCGCCAGTCTTCTGTCACATATACAGAGACCGCACCTGAGGCAGAAGGCACCAGAGGCCAAGACAGAGGTGCAGAGTTGGACTCAAAGCAAGTGCAGGTGGGGCGACAGGAGAGGAGATAACCCCCCAGGGACCCTCAAGTACTTGAGGGGAATTCCACTATGAGTAAGAGCAAAGAGCATACGGGTGGGGACGAGAGTCACTAAGACCACTACTGAGTATGACCCTCACTGCTATAATGCAAGCAGGCAGGCTAGGGAGAGCTGGGTTAAAAGTTTGAAAAATGTTTTATAAAGCCAGATCGCACAAAATTCTCTTTAAAGCAAACCAGGAGAAAGGGAAGATATTCCTTCAATGACTATGCAGCAAGAAACTGCTTCTATCATCAGACCAAGCTAAAACATGCTCATTAAATTTCCCTTTGGTGACAGGTTGTGGTTCTTTCCCGCTTATCCACTCAGGGCTTCCTCATTCACCCAGGACCCATGCAAACCCTGCCTCTCTCGGGTAGGGAAGGGGGCTGCGCAAGGCATCTGTTCAGATTAGGCATGAGATGGAAAATCAAGTCACATTTCATAAAAACCAACTCCTGAGAAATAGCAAATCTGCTCCCCGCAGCTCACGCGTTCTTCAAACTCCATTTTAATGACCAGGGTTGCAAAGGAAAAGTCCTTGTCTACTTCTCCTTCAAGCAGGGCTGAAGTTCAGGTCTTCTTCTATCTGAAATTGCTTTATTGACTTGACTTGCAGCAATTCCCTTAGGTAGGTATCACCCGCAGATGCAATTCAGCTAAGGATTGGATTTGATTACTGCCAGGTAAACAACTTACTACCCACACAGACTCTGTCCCAAATAAAATCCCCACGTTATTGAATTGAATACTTCTCTATGAAGGGACGCTGAAAAGACCCTCTCGCCAGAAGGTGCACCTGGATGCCGTGTTGAAAGTTGCCTGGTTCATGGAGCTGCATGGACATTGCACCTGGAAAGCCTGTGAAGTGTAGGGTAGCAGGCAAGCTTGGCCCTTGACGCTACATTACAATTACCTTGCAGGAGGACAATCGTACTACACACCACTATGTAACGTGCCTCAAGACTATTTATACCTCCAGACCTCGCTATTCCATTTGTAGGAATTTGTACCGAGAATGCAGTGACTGTAGGAAAGTTCAATGGTGTTCACTGCAATGTTGGCGATGGGGTGATAAAACAGAAGTAAACCAGTGTTCAGCGATAGCAACTGCTTAAATAAACTGGCCAAATATTCTACAGGTACGTTCAGACATTGACAAAAATACAACAGAGAGTATATACTAACAAGGAGGAATGGCTCCTTTGTAATGAGCAAAGCAAACAATGAAATAGTTTGTGCCATCATATAAAAACTTTAGGTTAGGGGCGCCTGGGTGGCTCAGTTGTTGAGCGTCTGCCTTCGGCTCAGGTCATGATCCCAGGGTCCTGGGACTGAGCCCTGCATCAGGCTCCTTGCTCAGCAGGGAGCCTGCTTCTCCCTCTGCCTGCCATTCTCCCTGCTTGTGCTCGCTCTCTCTGACAAATAAATAAATAAAATCTTTAAAAAAACAAAAAACTTTAGGTTATAAAACATACGCATTTGTACATAGAAAAAAGACCCAAAGGATAGATAACAAAATGTTAATAGTATTTATTTTTAGGTGGTTGTTTAATGGGTAATTTCCATTCTCCTCTTTTTTTTTTTTTTTAAGTAGGCTCCATGCCCAGAGTGGAGCCCAACATGGGGCATCAACTCACGACCCTGAGATCAGACCTGAGTGGAGATCAAGAGTCAGACGCCCAAAAGACTGAGCAACCCAGGGGCCCCTCCATTCTCCTCTTCTGATGTCTGAGTTGGTAAATTTTCAACAATAAGCACAAATTACTTTTTTAATATTAAAAATGAAGTATTTGGTTAAAGTCAGGATTAGAAAAGAAGTGGAGGTAATAATCTCGCCCACTGTTTCACGATACATACAGTGAGGCTGTGTAGCTCAGGAAGCTGTCCTGGGGAAAAGGGAATTCTACCACCAATAAGGGAGAAGATTTTCCTAAATCGCTATTCACATGAACAGTATCTCTAAATTAAATTTGTAATTTAATGAATTACAAACTTATCAAAATCATCTCTAAGTTATTATGAAATGAGAGCCCCTCCAGAGGTGTAGTTCTTCAGGTTTTCTGGGTCACTTAAACGACTCTAGAAATATCTGATGAATGCCATCCATGCAATTCCTGGAAAAATGCACCTGAGCTCTAATAAACAGAAATCATGCCTGTTGGTTTAGGGAATCACAGGGACCCAAAACCGGTCTGTGGGTCCCTCACAATAGCGTGCTTTACGCTGTGCATTGTGACATGAAAACATGACATGACATAGAAAATGAGGGAACAAAGAAGAATAAAATAAGATAACATGAAATATATCTCACATATATGATAGGTCAGTAATATTTTGTGAAATTTTTGTCTTGTGAAATTATTTGTAATATCTGGATAAATATAAAGAATATTTAATGATATAAATCACTTGTGTGTGTGTGAGTGTGTGTGTTTTATTGATCGTGATATAAAATATATTTATCACCACGGGTTGGGGTTAAACAGCATGAAAGTGACTACCCTAGGAGCCCATTACTCCAGGTTAAAAAAATATCCTGCACTAGAAGGGAAAACAGCATCAGGGTGAATTAACCAAGCGTCTAACCATACTTTTCAGAGCAAAGAGTGGAGTTTCTTAAACCTCTTATTAAAAATGATCTATTACTATTTAGAAAAAATAGGAGCTAAAAATTTGGGTCAGGACCTGAGCAAGTAGCTTTGGATTCTGATCTGGTCCGCATCCCATGAACACATAAATGCTTTGTTTAAATTATGATTTATTTACTACATTCACCTCTTTACTACTTTGATTCTGCGAAAGCAAATCACATCCAGCTTCAGGGAAGCTCCTTTTTTCTCTCAGGCATTCATTCATTCTCTGTCTCATTCATTCCCCACCGCCCCAATCCACCCCGCAGTTCCCTCAGAACAAAGCAATGGCTAGAAATGGAAAAATTCCACAGACTTGATTGAATCTGAGACACCCACACCAGCCACAAGGAGACAGATGTCTGCTTCGGACTATCTCCAGCTCATGTCAAATGCCTGAATCACATGGATCTTCCAGCAGAATGGTAATTTTGACACCTGTTTCGGCAGAGCCAGTGAATGGCCTGTCAATGCCCCTTGCCAATAGGACAGACACATAGCTCTTTAGTTTTATGTTAAGTGATCGTAACTCTCTTAGTTCTGGCTCAGGGTATAGTGCAGAGAAAGGCAGAAACTGGTGCCAGGTGGGGGGCCCTCAGTTAGATCCCTGCTCTTTTCCATGCTGTCTTGAATTCAGAGCTTCAGCACCCAGGCCACCACCATCTGTGGCAGGACAGCCCATGGAAACAAAAGCTGAGGCCAAGTTCACCTTCAGCGCTTTCAGCCCTCCCGTTCCCATCTCTGGGAGGCCTCCAAAGGGTATCTGGGAGAGGGAACATCATCCTGCATGAAATAAGTAGAACTCGGGGCATCACAAAGAGACACAGATAATTATTACTAACTCGTCACGTGTAAGGAGCGCTCTGCAAGGTACCTGAAGGCACATTACTTAGGCTACCATCTGGCCCTGGCCTGGGAGTTTCAAAGGCATTTCCAAATAAAGGAAAGGAATTTTCAGGGAAGAAATTATCTAATGTCAGTAAGGATCAGGCCCCAAATGAATCACATTTTGAGGTGACGGTCAGGGAGCTGATCCTGCGATCTTTTGTTTTTTAATTGAGGTAAAATTCATATAATGCAAAATTAACCATTTTAAAGTGTACAACTCAGTGGCATTGAGTACAACATTGTGCAACCAACCACCAGCTCTATCAAGTTCCAAAACATCTGCATCACCCCAAAAGTAAACCCCAGTTACTCCCTATATCACAAGACCAAAAACAGATCTGAGGCTGTGAGGTCTGCTCTCCAAGGGTCTAAGCTGAGTGCAGGGTCAGGGCAGGAACTCCCTCATACTCCCCCATTGCTGTATCCTCAGCTCCAGAACAACACCTCACTCCCAGGAAAGGCTCAGTAAATATTTGCTGAAGGAATGTTGAATGATCGAGAACCAAACGGAATAGCAGACAACCTGACCTCCTTTGAAGCCAGTGAACTACTCACCCTCTCGTGCCCACTGCTGACACTGAGCCAGGCCATCAGTCTGGAATCCAGAGATCTGGAGGGGGCTGACACTTGGGTAAGCGTTAATAGGACAAGACTTGAGAATGAGGTTTACTGAGCACTTTCT